AAGCAGAACATCGAGGAACTTGGATAGAAAACAGACGCTGAAACTGAGTCAAAAGGGATAAGGTGAAAAGGATAAGGTGAGGAAGACGTCTTACTTCATACGAGGAAGCCTTCTTACTTCATCAGGATGACCGCCGCCGACCACTAGAGGGAAGACGAGCATGCGCAATAAGAGAGGCTGATGTCGCAATAGGATGAAGTAATCTGTAATGCATATGTATTAGATAATGAAGCAATACTTACTGAATATGTATGAGATTGTGCAACCAAGAGAATATAAAATGCATATCTGGCGAGGCAGTCTTCGGAGCCAAATTTGGGTGCGTACCCCTGGTTCCCAGTGCCTCGAAATAAAGCACCGCGTATAACCTGGATACGTGGTTATGTGTTTGTCTCTGCGCTAACACTGGGATGGGGTAACATCTGGCACAAGTATAAACTGGGAGAGGAATGGCTGGAGAGCAGCCCTGCAGAATGGGACCTGGGGGTGCTGGTTGGCAGCCGGCTCAATGGGAGCCCGTAGGAGGCAAGGGATGCGTCAGACACAGTACGGCCAGCCGGGCAAGAGAGGGGATTATCCCACTGTACTCGGCGCTGGTGTGGCCTCACCTGGAGCACTGTGTGCAGTTCCTGGTCCCACCACTTAAGAAGGATGTGAAGGTACTTAAATACATCCAGGGGAGGGCAACAAAGCTGGTGATGGGGCTGGAAGGCATGTCCTGTGAGGAGAGGCTGAGGACTTTGGGTTTGCCTAACTTGGAGAAAAGGAGGCTGAGGGGCAACCTACAGCTTCCTGAGGAGGAGACATGGAGAGGGAGGTGCTGAGCTCTTCTCCCTGGGATTCAGTGATAGGATGCATGGGAATGGTTCAAAGCTGTGCCGGGGGGGGTTAGAGTGGACATGAGGAAGCGTTTCTTTACCGAGAGTGCGGTCAGATGCTGGAACAGGCTTCCTAGAGAGGTGGCCGATGCCCTGAAGCGGACATCAGTTGGACTAGGTGATCATTGTAGGTCCCTTGTAACTGGACTATTCTGTTCTGAGATGGGGTTTTTTTTGTTGCAGTCTGTCTGTTTTGAGATGACAGGAGAGATTGTCATTTACAGTCTGGTGTACAAAACCACATTGTCACCCTCCAGAGGGCAGGCCAAGCCATCTGCTAGTGAGTCATCGTCTGATCTGCTCAGTGTTTGCTAGTCATATCCGGATTTACCAATAAATGTCAGTCTCTCAACCCGGGCTCTATTGTACCCAAATGAAGCAGGTGATTGGGAAAATCCAACAGGGATTTGCCAGAGGTAAATCATGTCACTAACCTCACCACCTTCTACAACAAAATAACATTTTCTGTTGACACGGGGAGAGCAGCGAATGTTATTTGCCTGGATGTCAGCAAAGTGTCCCACGCTGTTTCCCACAGCCTTCTCCCGGACAAGCTGGCAAGATGGAGATGGGATGGGTGGTCTGCGAGAGGGGTAGGAAACTGGCTCACAGGCTGTGCTCAGAGGGTGGTGATCAATGGTTTTTACTTGAGTCTACTGGTTTGGGAGGCATCACCGGACTCCATGAGACAAAGCAAGATGGTTGTCTTACCCAGTAGCCGTCTTCTCCATGAGCTACTTTTCAGTGATTTCTGCTCTTCCGCAGTGCAGTGAAATAGGTGTTCCATCCAGAGCCTTTTTCTTGGAAGAAAATCATCCTCGAGTCTTTTTTCCTTCTCCTTTTAACCAGAACACCATCTCTACAAGGCTGCAAACCGTCGAATTGGATTAAGGATGATGGCGTACCCTCAGCACTGTCTTGCAACACCCTTCACGATACAATTCTAAGGTCACAACTCCCTCAACTTGGCTGCACAGATGCTTTTAAGAGAAATACCTCCGTATGTTAGCAACCTGTAGTGCCAATATCTAGGCCTGCCCCTCTGGTCTCTTCCCCTCAGCTCCTTCTTTCTCTCCGCTATCAGTGCGCTCCCCACCTCTCCTTTCCTGCCTCAGGACCACTCAGAGAGGGGCTGATCATCTTCTTCTGGGGTCAAGCGGAGCGAACGATGCCATCGGTAGCAAAGAGGAGGCAGAATGTGAAATGCAGTCAGCCTGTGCTGCTTCTGTATCAGGTGATGCAAAACCATGGAAAGTCCGTGAAGAAATACACAGGATTCCCTTTTGCCAAGTTAAGCTGATGCAGCTCGTTCTTTCCGGATCTCTGCCTTTTTCCTATGCCATTCTTTCTCTTTTTTTTTTTCTCCCCAAACCACTGACCATAATCGTTTAAAAATACAGGCTTTACACGTGAATGGTTCTTTTTGGGAAGCGGAACTTTCCATAGTGCTTTTTTTTTTCAGCTACATATGGAGCGAGTGCTTGGGAGGGGGTCAGGGCCGGCAGATAACCTGGTGCTGTGGCCAGGGAAATTCTGCCACAGCTACATTTACCCATCTCCTTTACACATGAAGATCCTTAAGCTCAATGTAAGTTTACCGTTTCAGCTGAACAATGGAGCGATTACCCTGAGGAAATAGAAGGGAGGAGTTATTGTAGAGTTATTTTTCAGCGTCTTTCCTAGGTCTTAAACACTAGTGTTATCCTTCTCTTCCACATTCTCAATGATGCTTTCAAATATTGGTTCGCTGTTGTACATAGAAGGGAGAGAAAGGGTGGGCACATATGGGGGGCGGGAGGGGGGAGGGGCTATTTTTATAATCGTAGGAATTTCTTGTCCAAAATTCTATTTTTTTCTGGGACGGACTTAAATATTAGAACGGTGTAGATGCGGATGCTCAACGCTGTGAAGCAGTGGTCTTCTGGCACAGAGAGGAAGCACTTGGCTCTCTGTACTGGTTTTGGGGGCGACAGAGTTAATTTTCTTCGTAGTAGGTGGTATGGCACCGTGTTTTGGATGTGTGACAGTGTTGATAGCACGGGGATGTTGTCGCTGTTGCTGAGTGGTGCTTGCACAGCTGCAAGGTCTTTTCTGCTTCTCACCCTGCCCCACCAGTGAGCAGGCTGGGATTGGGTGAGAAGCTGGGAGGGGACACAGCTGTGACAACTGACCCCGACCGTTAACGTGTGATGGAACCCTGCTTTCCTGGGGATGGCTGAACACCTGCCTGCGATGGGACGTAGTCAAGGGATTCCTTTTGCTTTGCTTGTGCGCACAGCTTTAGCTTTACCTGTTAAACTGCCTTTGTCTCAACCTGTGAGTTTTTGCACTTTTACCCTTCCGATTCCCCTCCCCATCCCGCTGCGGCTGTGTGGGGCCGAGCTGCCCACGTGGGCTGACCCACAACGCCCTTCCCTAAGCCAGCAGGCTCACGGAGTGGAGGCACTACGGAGCTATTAATTCAGCATCCTGCCTGGTTAACTAATTCTGCATCATTTGGCTGACCTTCGCTGCTTCCAGCCTCAGAGCAGCCCAGCCCCGCATGAAACCAAGTATTTCTGCATGGCATCATATTTTTCTGCGTAACCAAAGCTGACGATTCGGGTACGACACCCCAGGAGAGAGCAATGAATCAATTGTAAAAGTGTAAAAAAAAAAAAAAAAAAAAAAAACAAAACCAAAACACAGCGGTCTTTTTGTGATTCGTGGGCTCTACCAGCTTCTGAGGGAGAAATCGCACAGCTGACGTGTATAATGGAACAGGAGAAAGAAATCTGTTAAAGGTGACCCACCTGCCAGCAGCAACTGACACCGTGCCAAGAGTAACCCTAGAAATTCTTCGTAAAACAGCACGTTGGCTCACGTTCTACCAAGAAACTCAAGGAAAGCAACCCTATACCTTGCTAATCTCTGAATCTCAATAAGCGCTTGAGTCGGGGCTGGCCTGAGGAAGCTGTGATTTAAAAAGAAATGCTGTGTATTTGGGGTACTCTGAAAACAGCAACGCAGGTGGAGGATGCCGGAATGCTGAGGGCTTGGCTCTTGGTGTGGCAGGTTGGGCCATCAGCATGTAAGGGTTAGAAAGGTGTCACCATGGGTGGGGAGGGAGAGGGGACCACATCAGGAGGTGCATGAGAAGTGGTATGGCCATAAAAGACCAAAAAGCAACAGCTTAATCCCCTTTTCTGGGCTGGGAGACACGGGTAAACTCTTTGTTGCTTGAATGAGGAGAGCATCAACTCCATCCCTGGCATGGTGAGCAGGGGGATTATCCCACCTCCAGACCTGCAGGACAAATCCTGCTCTCCCGAGGCAATTTGCAACAGTCAAACCCAGTTTGTGAAGTGCTGGTGTACGGGAACCTTGGTGGAATCTCAAATTCCTGTGTAATGCAATTTGTGACGGTTGTTAATAACACCAGAAAGTCACTCTGTAGACAAACAGGAAAATAACACCTGTTTAGGAGCAGGAGCAGCCTCTCCCAAGGCCAAGATAGAGATAAGTCTCTAAGATCTTAACCTCTGGCTATAATAATTGTGTGTTTACTGTGGAAGAGTTTGAAGTCTGACTGTTTTAAGGGCAATTCGCAACAGGTGAACACCGTTCCTGTTTTGCTGTTGTCCCCCCTTTCCTGCTGCCGAATGCGTTTGGCAGAGAATCGTAGTCCTAAACCACCGAGCAAGAAGTGGAGGAAAGGCACGGCAGGCACCAACCACGGCACCGAGCAGGGACGGGGCACTGAAGCAGTAATATGACGGTGTACAGGGTGACGAAGGGGCCCTCCACGCCTCCCTCCCACAGCCAGAAGATGAGGGGGTCCCTGCTAAATCCTTACCTCCCTGCAAACCCGCTGCAAACCCGCTGTGTCTCCCGAGGCAGCTCTTTGTACCTGCCTTAATGTCACGCCGTATCAGTGCTTTTCATGGCTTACTAATTTCCACCCACCCCTGGGAACACCTAGCCACTCCCTTTGTCCTCACCTATCCCAGCCATTTATAGCAGTGATGGGATGCTAGAAATAGAGACGCGTCCACTAAGAGCCAGAGGAACCCGTAGGCGAAAGGAGTTACGGAGAGTCGATTTGCAAAGGAGATATTTTCTAGCTGGCAGTGGCGAGGCAGCATGAAAAGCCCTGTGTGCACTTCAAGGTAAGGGGAGAGGGAGGTGAATGCTATGGGTGCGGAATTTAAAACGCGGTTCGTAGAAAGGTCTGGTTCGGGTAATCCCTCTAAGTTGTGAATAACCTGTAGAGTTAGTTATATCTCGCCCCAGGGCAGAGATTAATTTCACCGTGAACATTTCCTGCCTGTATTCCTGGTCTTTTAATTTGAAAGAACCTCATTAGGTCAACACAGAGGTCTGTTATTTTCAGCTTCAGCCAAGCGAAGGGGAAGGTTGTCCCAAGCCTTAAAGTATCTGTAGTGGCACCTCCAACTTGCGACCCGAGAAGTAGTTTTCCCTCTTTTCTTCCAAGCTGGGACATGGTCGGAAAGGCAAGTCGAAGCTCCGGCAGGAGCCCTGCTGACAGCTCCGCCAGTTTTTTAGCTTCGTAGAAGAATTTGGGGTCTTGGCAAGCAGCTCCCAAAGTGCTTCCTCAAAGGGCTCCCAGGCTGGTTGCGTCTCTTGTGGGCTTCCGTAATTTTTGGTGATGTTTGAATTGTGGCTCTCTCTCTTGAACTTTGCTTTGTATTAACGGGGCCGTGGTGGGTTGACCCCGGCTGGGCGCCGTGTGCCCACCAAAGCCGCTCTCTCGCTCCCCTCCTCCGCTGGGCAGAGGAGAGAAAATACAGCGAAAGGCTCCTGGGGTGAGATAAAGACTCCCAAGGAGACATCACTCACCCATTACTGTCACGGGCAAATAGTCTCGACTTGAGGAAATTAGTTTAATTTATTCCCGATCAAACTCAGACTAGGGTAATGAGAAATAAAAATTCGATCTTTCTTTCCCTCCACCCCTCCCTTCCTCCTGGGTTTAACTTCACTGCCAAATTCTCTCCCTCCTCCCCCCACGTGGCTCAGGGGGACAGGGAATGGGGGTTGTGGTCGGTTCATCATCACAGAGCGATCAAAGGAATTCGGATTGTCTCACCCTTGTCCCCCTACCAGGCCCGGGACCACAGAATTAAGAAATACTGATGAAAGGCTGCCTGAAGCTATGTCTTGAAACCCTTCATGCAGACGCTGTGCTGCAAATTCATATCGGAGGTTGGGGCCAGCTGGGGCTGAGGGTCTTGCCCACTTTTGGGAAGGGCTCTTCTGCTGAAGGATTTCCCACTTTGGCTGGGAAAGGGTTGGAAAAGTTAGACAAGGAAAGCGCTGTCGTGCAAAGCAAAGCTGGAAGCCAAGGTGATTCGGGGCGGGTTTGTGTGGCGAGTAAAGTCAAACGGTTTTCTGCAGTGCCATGGTGGTGGTGTAACATCGCCACCTGTCTCCGCGCTTCCACTGTGTTTGCCTTCGGCTGGTGGCTCACGCAGCTGGCTACGATAGCCATGTTTTTACGTGCAGCTCTTCGTGTTCCATTGGACTTTGGTCCCATCTTCTCTCCGGTTTTCCGTGGCTCGATCCAGGCTGCCACAGCCCAGCTTGTCGTACTCTGCCCAGTCGGTGGGAGGCTGTAGACCAGCTAAAGCTGGTGGTTGCACTCTCATGAGGCCAACTGGAAGGAGCGATTCAGTGTCTTTCCCATGGTACGAGCTGGAGGCTGTGAAAGCCACCACCCTATGCAGCAGGACCATGTGTTGAGGACCTCCTGGCCAGAAGGACAGGAGAAAGGACCACCCCATCGACCCTCAGACTGGGCAGGCTTGGAGCCTTCCATGCTCGCTTAGGAGAGTGGGAACCACGAGTGTGACCATCCCACACTGTAAACGGGACTATATCATCTCAGAACAACTTAAAGCCCAAGTCAGGTCTGCCGCAGTTTGGTACTGGCGGCCGAAAACATGGAATTCACATGGGGTTAAGAAAGCTTTTAAGATCAGAGAAGTCAGATCAAGCTTGGTGATGAAAAGTTCCTTTTTGATGGGCATCAGACTTTCCAAACACCCTGTTCGTGTCCCAGCTAGAATGCACTGGTGGAGATAAGTGCTGATTGCCTAATTAATGCTATAAGAGACCCACCCCTCGTCATTATCCAGACAAAACTTGGGTAGATGAGGTGCTTAGTCCAAAGGGCTCTGAGCTCAGGTAGTTTAAGGTCTGGCCAAGATGAGATCTGATGAAAGGGAGACCTGGGTGAGGCTGAGCACAAGCTGGGAGGAAGAGCTGTCGCAGCAGGGAAGCAGTCCTCTTGTTGGAAAGCAAGGTGTAATTAGTCCGTTACAGGTGCTATTGGGTTATTAATCGCTTTTCTGTGTTGAAAAGTCTCAGTTATATTGGAAAAAAAAAAAAAAAGCAGTTTAGTATTTCTTCGAGATCCCCATCTTCTGGAGTGATGCAATTGCAGGAGCTGCTCAGATTTCCTACCGAGGAACTCGTTACACCCCTACAAAGGGCTTATTTTCTAGTGAATGAACTGGAACTTTGAGCAGTGGATGAGCTCTAAACCCCCGGAAAACCAAAAGAAAAGCAAAATAAAAGGCAACAGAGCGGGGAGGCTGTCAGAAGAGCTTCACGGGCTCTGCCCGAAGTGGGCTATGTCTCGCTAAAGGCCAAAATTAGGACAGTGATAGGTGAAGGTTCTTAAAGGTCCCTTCCGACCTCAACAATTCTGTGATTCTATGAAAGTGCAGTTTCTCACTGTCCTGCCTCTAATGCCGGAGCTGCTGTCACAGCTCAGGCAGCCAAAGGTGGGTGGCACCACGGAGATGTAAAATTGTGGTCCCAGTGGTAAAAATTCCCAGTGGCAATATGCAAAGTTTGGTTGTTAGCGTTCGGGGAAGGACTACCATGTAAAAATCCACTGAAACTCATCTTTCTTTCTTTCTTTCTTTCTTTCCAGGCATATCAAATATTTCGTCATTTTCAGCCTTTGCCTGGGACTCATCTTCCTGTCAGGATACTTCCATATGAAGAATAAAACTTATGTGTAAGTGAAGCAGAAGCAAGGTTGCGTGACTTCATCTGCTCAGGGCAGCAAGGATCTGACCTGTGACGCTTGATTTAACTCTCATGAGGTTTTAAGCTAATACTGGAAGGGCAGCGGCCCAAAGTTAGGTCCTAGATCCGCATTTGGGCAGGCAAGGGATCAAATTAGCCAAAGTGCAGCTCTTCGGGGCAAAACCAGCCATATGGAAAAGGAAAAGGGGATCGAGCTGAAGCCTTTGGGTAAGTGAGGACCTGGAGAAGCAGAAAACCGTTCAACATCTGTGCCTGAGGGCTGGGGCTTGTTTGGGTTGGTGCCTTGCACCAGCTGCAGGTGTGGTATGAGAAGGAGAACCCAGTTGGATTTGGGTTTGCCAGGTCCCCGAGATGGGGTACGGCACTGGAGAGGCTGTTTTCCCCATCTTTTGCCTTCCTGCAGAATCTCGAAGAGCCATGACGAGCTGCTGCATTGCCATGCCAAGACTAACGTCATGTTCCTCAAGACCCACAAGACTGCCAGCAGCACCATCCTGAACATCATGTTCAGGTTTGCGGAGAGGTACGACCTCACCGTCGCCCTCCCAGCTGACCAGCTCGTCCACCTGGGCTACCCAGAGACCTTCGTGGCCCAATTTGTGGAGGGATTTCAAACTATAGGTCAAAACTACAACATCATGTCCAACCACCTGCGGTTTAACCGCTCAGAGGTAAGAAAGAGCCACGACACCTGTGGAGAAGCATGGTTGAACAAGCAGTGCCTCCGGACTAATGGCCTCTGTTCTTACTCCCCACAAATAGGTGCAAAAGGTGATGGCAGTAAACACCTTCTACTTCTCCATCTTGAGGAACCCCATTTCTCTGCTGGAGTCTTCCTATGTCTACTACAAGGAGGATGTCCCTGCCTTCAAGACCTCCAAGGACGTGAACGAGTACCTGGCGTCACCCACGAAGTATTACCGTCCGGAAAATTACAAGCAAAACATATATGCCCGGAATATCATGTGGTTTGACTTTGGCTATGACAACAATGCAGAAGACGACACAAATTACATCCAGGTGGTCTTGAAGGAGATTGAACAGAACTTCCACCTGATCTTGATAGCAGACTACTTTGATGAGTCCATGATCCTCTTGAAGCACACTTTGTGCTGGGATCTGGATGATGTGATTTACTTTAAGCTCAATTCCAGAAGCCAGGACACTGTCCAGACCTTGACTCCAGAAAGCAAGGAGCGGATAAAAGCGTGGTGCTCGCTGGACTGGAAGCTCTACCTGCACTTCAACCAGACCTTCTGGAGGAGAATTGAGGAGACCATAGGATTTGAGGAGCTGGAGAAGGAGGTGAATCATCTGCGAACGAGACAGAAGGAGCTCATGGAGGTCTGTCTCTCGGACAAGGAGCCAGTGGGGAAAGATCACATCCACAACAAAGATTTCCTGCCTTTCCAGTCAGGGGCTGCAAATATCCTTGGGTACAACCTTAGACAAAACTTGGACAACTGGACTCTCAGAACCTGCCAGAAAATGATTATTCCAGAGCTCCAGTACACATCCTATCTTTATGCTGTTCAACACCCGCACAAGAAGAGGAAGCCGTTTGGCTTGCCCTTGATGTGGACCAAGTTCCGGGAGAAGACGCACTTCCCAGCTCCCAACTAGGGCACGCGACAATCCACTTGGGGTTTCCCACTGCTTTCCATCACCCCACGTCTGGCGTGTGGCTGGCCCACAGGACTGTTGCGCACGAGGGGTTGGGGGCTTTGTTCGGGGCCGCTGAGCCGGTGGTGGGTCCCTTTTTGGGGACGTTGAGCCAAAGACTCTGCATTGGTCGGATCCTGCATGATCCCTCCTCTCAGCTCCCAGGCAGGGGGACAGCCTGCTGCCGCTGAGTGCTGGGCAGGCTTTCAGCTGGCGTAGACCTTCCTGCCTCTTAATCATTAATCACGGGCTGAATCATTTTGTTTGCATTCAACTTTATTTAATCGCTGTCCTTACATCCAGGCTGGTCACGGTTCACTAGAGCAAGTCCTGATTTTTGGCGTTTAGGGGGGAAAAAAAGGGGAGGGGGAGGCAAACAAGGAGGAGAGCGCAATGAAGGGACTCAGCGCTCGAAGGAGTAGGAGAAATGTAGGGTCTCCCGTCCAGCAGCATCTGCTCTCAATGATGTCTAACCGCTGGGTGATGCCAGGGCTGCTTTTGGGATGGGAGGCCAGCAGCCTTTCCCCACCGGCACAGGTGACGTCCCTCTCCCATGTGTCATGAGGTGGGGGGGGGTCCTCGGCACCACTTGGGACCTCTTGGCGCTCCCCTGGAAGGGGCCATTTTGTGGCTTCACCCCTCGCTCTTGGGCGAGGGTCCCAGAGGCTTTGTTGAGGCCCCCCCCCCACCTTGCTGTGTTGGCCAAACTCTTCCACACCAATGAGGAGAGGGGTGGAGGGAGGCACAGCCGCTGCTTGTTTAGGGTATGACCTCATTATTAAAGGAGGTAATTAAACCTTCCTGCGCCATCTCTGCTCATTTCCCAGCTCCCCGCTGCCGCTCCAGTGCTGGGAAGCTTCGCTAGCAGCAAACCTGACGGCTTTGGCGTCACGGTCATTTAATGATGGCCCATCGACGGTTTCCAACACACCTGCCCTCCCCGGTGGTGCAATATTTCAACGTTTAGCCAGCGCCTCCCCGCTCATGCCGTTTGGGGACTGAACGGTGCAACTGGGTTGATGGATCCAGGGTCCTTCAGCTTGCAACTTTGGGAGGGTGAAGCAGCCCGGCAGCGTCTCAGCCCAGGAAGCGGGAGAGATGCTGTCAGAGGGGAGCGGGACAGGGATTTCCCTCAGCTGTGTTTAAACCCGGCAGGGAATCCAGCTGAGGTAAGGGTTAACCTCCTGCGGCGTAATCCGTGCTCCTCCGCAACCGCAACCGGTGTGATGGACAACAGGAGCAACCAGGAGATTAACCGTTAGGGTTTTCTGCTCCAGCAACCCTAGCTAAAATTAACCAGGCTTAGGAGGTGTTTGTAACGAGCCGGGGCGGAGGAGACGGCGGCCTCATGTGTTCAGCCTGGGCAGTCCCCGGGGCCTTTCCCGGCCAATTCTGCAGCCAGAACGTGGGCTTTCACCTTGGAGCCTCTGACCCGTGACTTGCTGTATGCATTCTGCCAAAACCCTTTAGCTTAACTGTTGCCAGGGATGCAATATAAACATCCAAACAATTTCTTAACAGCTGATGGGTGTGCAGGTTGGGGGGGTCCTGGGAAGGCTGGGACCCTCCAGACCACAGGCTGGGGTGGACCACGGTGAACACGGGCTGCAACACCTGGGCAGGGTGGTCTGGCCTCTCCCAGCCTGCCGGAGGAGGGAAACTGAGGCAGGAGATGCAACACCCCCACCCCCCCCCCAGCCCCCTTGCCACCCCCCCTTGGGGGGGTGGGT